CATCCATTGGCCTAGGAGTATCATGGCCAGTATCTTCGGTCGTTGACTAGAGCTCGATTCATCCCTATGGTTCTTTATGTAGAGTACCGCATCGCAAGAATTTTTGTAACACGTACATAACAGCTCTTGGCGTGTCAAAATGATGTGAGAATCTGACCATCAACGGATTTGATCTACGCAAAATAAATGACCTTGATTAAATGACTGTGTGAGCACCTCCAACTACTCTATGGCCATGCGGGACCCAATAGTGTGTGTGCTTGCCAATGACCATGTGAACTATACTCAAATGGGAGAGAGTTTAGGCAATGTGCTTCCATGTTCACCGCATGGCGCATGCGTCCACGCATATATACGGTGTTATAAAAGGTTGGACAGCTCTTTTTTATGATCAACACTGGAAGACGACTCTTCTCAGCAACCAAACTCGTATAAAATATCTCCATTATAAGGCCACAATTAGTGTCCAATCAGCCTCCTGACCTTAGGGGAACAACCCTTTGACCATCAGGGACCTTCTGCTCCTTTTCCCTTGGGAAATGGCATTCTGACCACTAACATGACCCTCGGTGTAGAATCTGGAACAAATTATAGCTTGTACGGTATTCGGCGCTTGAAATGTCAAATGTGCTGCACTTCAACTGGTTTGATGCTCCCGACTAACTACAGCGCGAGTGTCTGAACTTCATTTGGATATCGTAGTAGGGAAGCTCAGTCTGGCATGCGGGTTAGACGAGGACTTCATCTTTTTTTTTTTTTTTTTTTTGAAACGAAAAGTCAATCTTTAACTCCCAATGGCGCATCTTGTCCATACGATGCACAGCCGGTAGATTTGTACCCAACATTTCTCAATCATTAATAAGCATGCACGTCGCTTGTCAAGCATGTACATGTATGATAGAACAAGTTGGATGTGTAGTGCACGATAGCGAACGCCTGATCCCTTCCGCGCTGCCCTAATGCAAAAGAAACAATGATTGGGGTTTGGTGTGTGGAACCAGTGAGGTTAAAAAGCCTTACTTAAACTCTACCAACCAAATATTTGTAATCAGATCACTCCAATTTTTTTTTGGGTTGCGAAGCAACCTATTACAATCGTTATGTACAATTTTTTTTTTCTATCTTCAATACCTTTAAAAAATAGAGGGAAAAAATCTAGTGAACGGTACTAGCTAAATGACTGACTGCTATGTATCTGCCGCGTCAATTTACCACGTGCTGAACCACATTCTTTCTCATTTCCTAGTTTACTTTGACTGAACCTATATTTCATGAGTTGCCAAAATGATGTACTGTGAATGCATAACTGTTTATTCCGTGATGCATATGTCTGCTGTTGTTATAAGTAGATGAAGTAAATGCAAATGCATAAGTATAATGCATATACGGTACTACCGGTACCGTAATGAAATAAATGCACAGCATGATGGAAGTGCGTAACAGTTAATTGACGCAGACCCTATGCTACCGCATCCCCTGCCTAGCATGGGGGGGAGCTCAATAGCATAATTTCTGAATCATCCAACTGTTACATGAAACAACACAATCTGTGTGATATAAAAAACAGGTCAATTCCATCAAATCCAGTTCGAATGGACACACTCACTGAGTGCGCAAAGAACCTTCTCGGAAATGATAGTTTGATCCCAATTTTTAAACCCCACAGACATGTGTTATCAATGCAATGGAAACATGAATGAAAACGCATACGCACACAACACAACGCATACACATGATCATACACATTCACACGGACACGCACGCACGAAGCCAACTGACAAAGCATATTAACCGCATATGAAATAGAAACCTAAATCACCAAGACATTATGTATCCTATACTGTAAGTCACAAGCAATATCAGTATACTTCTCATATTGAGCTCGACTGCCTGAAAAGTAAGACAAAGCTGGGTTGAGGAAGGGAAGGCAAATGGGAAATAACAAGGCATAATGAAATTACAAGAAAAAGGAATAATGAAGAAACAAATGAAACAATACAAGGGCCAAGAAAAACGCCATGAGCATTGAAGGGTTAGAGCTGACAAATAACAAGGAGAAAATGTACTAAGGCATAAAACGAAAGTAAAGAACGAGAACAAAGGGAAAAACACATGACCAGACAGTAAACGAACGAAGAGAATATAACAAATACGTTGAGCGAGAACAACGGAGACCGAGAGCGAGAGCGAGAGCGAGAGAGAGAGAGAGAGAGAGAGAGAGAGAGAGAGAGAGAGAGAGAGAGAGAGAGAGAGAGAGAGAGAGAGAGAGAGAGAGAGAGAGAGAGAGGACGAGAGAGCGAGAACGAGAGAGTGGACGAACGAGAGAGAACGAACGAGAGATTTGACAAAAGAGAACGAGAGAACGACAGAGACGGAACGAGAGAGAGAGAGAGAGAGAGAGAGAGAGAGAGAGAGAGAGAGAGAGAGAGAGAGAGAGAGAGAGAGAGAGAGAGAGAGAGAGAGAGAGAACGAGAGAGAGAACGAGAGAGAGAACGAGAGAGAGGGAACAAGAGAGAGGGAGAACAAGAGAGAGAGAGAGAGAGAGAGAGAGAGAGAGAGAGAGAGAGAGAGAGAGAGAGAGAGAGAGAGAGAGAGAGAGAGAGAGAGAAAGAAAGAGAGAGAGAGAGAACGAGAGAGAGAGAGAGAGAGAGAGAGAGAGAGAGAGAGAGAGAGAGAGAGAACGAGAGAGAAAGAAAACGAGAGAGAACGAGAAAGAGAACGAGAGAGAGAACGAGAGAGAGAAAACGGGAGAGAGAGAACGGGAGAGAGAGAACGGGAGAGAGAGAACGGGAGAGAGAGAACGGGAGAGAGAGAACGAGCGAGAGAGAACGGGAGAGAGAATGGGAGAGAGAGAACGAGCGAGAGAGAACGGGAGAGAGAGAACGGGAGAGAGAGAACGGGAGAGAGAGAACGGGAGAGAGAGAACGAGCGAGAGAGAACGAAATGGACTGAACATGCAACCTATTACAATCTTTATGTACAACCTAAGACGAGGTTGAGAAAAAAATGAACTAAAACATGCAAATATGAAGAAAAGGCAACCGACGAGAGGAAAAGTTTAAGGATGAAGAATAGAAGAAACAGATGCAAGCTTATGCAGGAAGGAGAACCTGAAATCTTTACAAAGGGCCGAGAACCTAAGTTTAAACAACTAAGTCTCGCTAATACTCATCCATTTACACGGCTAGGATACGGAATGACTAAATGTTAGTCTATCTAATAGGCATCTAATTTAGTTGGAGTTAAAGTTGAGGGATCTTCTTACCTAAGTTGCAGTTAGAGTAGGTGGAGAAGTTGGTAGAGCGTGACGAGCGAGGAAAAGCGGGAGAAAAAAAGAGCCGGCAAACCCTAAGGTAGTCTCATATTCGTCGCATGTTTTTATTTCTAAATTATTTAGCTGTTCTAGGTATACATCTGTGCTGTAGTAGTGGTACAATGCTTGGAGTGGAATCGAAAGGTCCTTGGTTCGAATCCCGATCACGCTGTACATTTAACCTTTTCCTGGTGAGAGGAAGTACCACTTAGTGTCATATTACAGCATTATGTACAGAATTAGAAGTTGTACAAATTTATATAATTACGCAAAACGCTTCGCAACCCTAAGACGAATTCGTCGCCTCTTGTTTTTTTTTTAAGACTCATACAGTTTTCCCATTAATAAACACCTACAATAATATATCTGATCCATACCAAAATCATGTAAAATATCTCAATATCTGGCCACAATGAGACCTACACAATTCATGCTAGCGTCCCGTCTTAGGGCAACGTCTCCCTGGCTGATTTTGGACTCTCTCTGTCCCCTTCCCCCCTGGGGAATGGCCCTCTGTCCAGCAACGGGGCCCTTGGTCCCTGTCCCCCCTAGAACGGCCCTCTGGCCAGCAACGGGACCCTCGGTCCCTTTCCCCCCTGGGGAATGGCCCTCTGGCCAGCAACGGGACCCTCGGTCCCTGTCCCCCCTGGGGAACGGCCCTCTGGCCAGCAACGGGGCCCTCGGTCCCTTTCCCCCCTGGGGAACGGCCCTCTGGCCAGCAACGGGACCCTCGGTCCCTTTCCCCCCTGGGGAACGGCCCTCTGGCCAGCAACGGGACCCTCGGTCCCTTTCCCCCCTGGGGAACGGCCTTCTGGCCAGCAACGGGACCCTCGGTCCCTGTCCCCCCTGGGGAACGGCCCTCTGGCCAGCAACGAGACCCTCGGTCCCTTTCCCCCCTATGGAAGGACCCTCTGGCCAGCAATGGGACCCTCGGTCCCTTTCCCGTCGTGGAAACGTCGTGGGTGTAAAAAATGGCCGTCTTTGCGATGGTGTAAACAATGGCGACCTTTTGCCCGAGCTATCGCCCCGCACTTCGTCCGCTACATCAAGAATGAAAGTCAAATGGAAGAAAAATAATATGATACATATGAGAAAACGTATTTTAGCACATACCTGTTTTAGCAATAGAAGCAGGTTTCGTCCTCGCAGGGGCGCCAGAGCTGTGGCAGTTTCATTTCTGGCGCGCCATAGGCGCTTTTGTCATCAGGCGTGCCCATGGCGCTTTCGTCCTGGGGTGCGCCAGTGGCGATTCGTCCTTGGGTGCGCCATTTCGTCCTGGTGCGCGCCAATGGCGATTTCGTCCTCGTGCGTGCCTCTGGCGATTTCGTCCTGGGGTGCGCGCCTGTGACGATTTCGTCCTGGGGTGCGCGCCAATGGCGATTTCGTCTTGGGGTGCGCGCCTATGGCGATTTTGTCCTGGGGTGCGCGCCTGTGGCGATTTCGTCTTGGGGTGCGAGCCTATGGCGATTTCGTCCTGGGGCGCGCCCTTGTGGCGATTTCGTCTTGGGGTGCGATTCGTAATCAGGCGATACGCTGGCGGCAATTTCGCCGCCATTTCTCCGCTTATCCCTGGATCGCGCGCTCCTGCTGCAAAAGGTTACAGGCGAGGGCGAGAGCATGTTTCCGTAGATGTTTGCGGGAGCTAGGAAAAACAGCACGATGCAAATGGAAAAAACGTCCCAGTAACTTAAAAACGTTCAATGTCATCACTACTAGTGCCTACTATTTTGTGAGGTAAGGTTGACGGGATGATAGAGGGGAGGAGGGGATGAGAGAGGGGAGGACGGGATGAGAGAGGGGAGGAGGAAATGAGAGAGGGGAGGACGGGATGAGAGAAGGAAGGAGGGGAGGAGTGATGGGGAGGCGGGAATGAGAGAAAGAGGGAGGGGATGAGGGAGGGGTGGAGGGGATGAGAGAGGGGAGGAGGGTATGAGGGAGGGGAGGAGCGGATGAAAGAGGGAAGAGGGTATGAGAGAGGGGAGGAGGGGATGAGCGATGGGAGGAGCGGGTGAGGGAGGGAAGGCGGGGAGGAGAGATGGGAGGAGGGGATGAGAGAAGGGAGGGGGGGACGTGTGAGGGCGTTCCGTTGAGGCGCATTACTCACTGTGGCACATGGTAAAGCACCTGATGCACATGCTTTGACCACCGGGTACAGTGTATCTCACACCTGAGACTGAGACTGAGCCTGAGCCTGAGCCCCGTGCACCTGCAGCGCAAGGTAGAGCACGGCCCCCACGAGACACAGGGCCCACGTGCCCTGCGGGGGAGTGGGGAACACGGGCATAGGGAGTGATGAGAGAGCGGCAGACGGGATAGTTGAGGAGAGGGAGGCATGAGGGAGCGGAGGAGGGGATAGTAGAGGAGAGGAAGGGAAGAGATAGCGGCGGACGGGATGAGGGATGGGTGGGCAGGGATGGGAGAGCGGTCGACGGGATGAGAGCAAAGAGGGAAGTTGTTGAGAGAGGGGAGGGCGGGATGAGAGCAGAGAGGGAGGGATGAGAGAGCGGAGGACGGGAAGAGACCGGAGAGTCACGGATGGGAGAGCGCAGGACGGGATGAGAGAGTGGTGGACGGGATGAGAGAGTGGTGGACGGGATGAGATAGATCCGCGAGAAATGAGAGCTGGGAGGACGGGATGCGAGCGGAGTGAAGAGGGAGGGATGAGAGAGGGGAGGACATGTCACAAGGGATGGCGGGGCAGGGATGAGTGAGTAGAGTTAGGGATCAGAGCGGAGAGGGAGGGGAGAGCGGGGGACGGGACGAGAGCGGAGAGGGATGTGAGGAGAGGGGCATAGGAAGTGCAGGGAGGTCGGTGGAAGGGAAGGCGAGGGATGGGAAGCGAAGAGAATAAAAGGGATTGGAGGGGAGAGGAAGCAAAGGGATGGGAGGGGTAGTGCATTGTGAGGGAGTGATAAGGTGCTCTGTGGGGGGGAACAGGGAGGTGTGGCATGGGGGAAAGGGGGGGTGCGACCTGGGGGACAGGGAGGAGCGACATGGGGGGGGGGGGGGGGGTTGGAATGGCGACCGGGGAGAAAGGGGAGGAGCGACCTGCGGGGGTAGGGGAAGTGGAGGGGAAGGGGAAGTGAGACCTGTGGGTGAGGGGAGGAGCGACATGGGTGGGTAGGGGAAGTGGAGGGGAAGGGGGTGTGCGACCCGTGGAAAAGGGGTGGAGCGACCAGGGGGAAGTGGTTGTGCGACCTGGGGTGAAGCCGATGAGCGCCCTGTGGGGAAGTTGAAGTGCGAGCCGGCTGAAAGGGGAAGTGCGACTCAGGGGAAAGGGGAAGTGCGACTCGGGGGAAAGGGGAAGTGCGTCATGGGGGAAGCGGGAGTTGCGACCTTGGGAGAGATGGGAACGGAAGTGGGAGCGGGTTATATCCTTGGAGGTAACGAGGCGGCGGTGGAGGCGTAGGCGATGAGGCGCGACCTGGACGATGCAAGCCGTTGAGGAGGCGCGTCGGCGTGGCGCCGATTGCAATAGCGGGGTGGCGAGGCAGCCACCCAGCGGCGGCAGGGATCCCACATCGTGGCGTGGCGAGGGATGAGAGTGGAGAGGGAGGGATGAGAGAGGGGGTGGATGAGAGAGGGGAGGACGAGATGGGAGAGGAGAGGACTGGAGGAGAGAGGAGAGGACGAAAGGAGAGAGGGGAGGACGGGATGAGAGAGCGGAGGAAGGGACGATAGATGGAGGGATGAGAGGGGGAGGACGGGATGAGAGATGAGAGTGAGGGACGAGAGATGAGAGCGAGGGATGAGAGATGAGAGCGAGGGATTACAGGCGAGAGGACGGGATGGGAAAGGAGAGGGACGCATGAGTGTGGGGAGGACGGGATGCTAGTGGAGAGGACGGGATGGGAGAGGGGAGGCCGTGACGAGAGAGGAGAGTACGGGATGAGAATGGAGAGGGAGGGATGAGAGAGTGTGGGACGGGAGGAGAAAGGGATGGGAGGGATGAGAGAGTAGACGGAGGGATGATAGAGGAGAGGACGAGATGATAGTGGAGAGGACGAGATGATAGAGGAGAGGACGAGATGATAGTGGAGAGGGAGGTGGACACGGAGAGGGAGGTGGACACGGAGAGGGAGGTGGACACGGAGAGGGAGGTGGACACGGAGAGGGAGGTGGACACGGAGAGGGAGGTGGACACGGTCCTGAGAGGAGAGAGGGGGATGAGAAGGGCTGAACTCGGAGAGGAGGGTATGAGGGGGAGGAAGGGAACAGAGACGAGAGTGAGGGATATGAGATGAGAGGACGGGATGGGAAAGGAGAGGGAGGGATGAGTGAGGCGAGGACGGGATAATTGTGGAGAGTAATGGATGAGAAAGGGGAGGCCGTAACGAGAGAGGTGAGTGAGGGTTGACAGAGGAGAGGACGGGATGAGAAAGGAGAGGGACGGATGAGAGAGGGGGGGATGGGAGGAGAGAGGGACGGGAGGGATGCGAGAGGAGAGGACGGGATGGGAGAGGAGAGTGAGGGACTAGAGAGGGAGGACGGATGAGAGAGGGGAGGGAGGGAGTGGTGAGGGGTGGACGGGATGAGAGAGGGGAGGCACTGAACTGAGAGGGGAAGAAGGTGGGGGCATGTGTGCCTTCTGGGCGATGCGGCTGCGATGCGGCAGGCGGCAACCTGTAGGCGTGGCGGGGAGTCGGCTATTTAACGTGCGAGGCTACGACGCCCTGTCGACGAGTGTGCTACGCGGCTCGCAGGCGTTGTGTGGACGGGGGGGCAAAGCCCGTGCGCGGAGGCGACGAGGATGTGAGGCCGCCACGCCTTGCACCCGACCCTCCTACCACTTCGTCGCGACGTGGTAATGCTGTGGATTTTTGGTCATCGCACCTTCTGTGCCTCTACGGAAGGCGTGACTGCTTATTGGCGGGTTTGTTAGTGTCATGGGGCAGTGCATGACGCAGGGTGCGGGAGTGATGCACAGCGGAGGACATTAGCCGTCGCGGCGGGTGTGCACGGCGCTATAAACACGGCGAGGTAGTGGTTCAACCACAGCATCAAAATCCTCTCGACCCGTTCGCCCCTCGCCGCACTGACTGGCGTCGCTGCGATCTACTCGAAGTGTGGCCTTACGCACGTAAGATTGAAACGCGGAGCTCGTGCGAGGCTGTTAGATCCCTGCTTAGGTCGTATCCCTGCCTAGTGTCAAGAAGTTAGTGTCAAGAAGTGCTCGCACCCTATTGGTCCAGAACAAATTTTCGGCCAATGCGATTGGTCATTCGTTTTTTTTAACCAATCGCATGCGCAAACTTCTTGACACCAACTTCTTGACACTAGGCAGGGATACGACCTTACTAACCAAGTCGTAGTGACAGGAGCGCCGTTTGGATCGCCGTGTTTAGGGTTGATGCCTCCCTGACCAGATGCATGCCCGAATGGGTTTTATTTTTTTTGCCCGCGGGCAGCGAGCTCCCTCGGGCGTCGTCCTGGTCCCGCTGAGCTATTTTCGGCGGGCTGGGATTTGCGTGCTTCAAATCTACTGCTGAGGTGACTCGCGCACTGACGGGGGCATTTTCAGTGAGTTCGCTTTTTGGGAGCGCAAGGGGCAGGCGTTCCGCCCAACCCCTCCCTCTCTGTGAGTTCCCCCAAACACTGGGCGATTTCAATAGACCTCGCTAGTGAGGTGTCGTCAACTCGCACCAGGCATACAACCCGATCCAAATTTCGTTAGCGAATCACTGGCCCTGCTAGGGTGTACATGACAATATCCCCAAAAACCACCCCCCCGAATGTGCACCCTGCATATTTGTGGATCGCTATTCTACCGATGCATATGGCCTGGATGATTTCCAGGCAGAAGTTTCATTCCAGTAATAGCGCTATTGTTATAAGCGCGAACAGCTGGCGAATGCTTGTGTGTCACAATCACAAACAAATCAGCTTCGCATTGCTTGCTTCCGTCCAGCAAATCAGGTCAAAGTCAGTCAACCACGCTGATGTTGGCAATGGGTAGCCTCAAGAAGTTTCAGAAGCCACGTGAGACCCTTCACACCATTGGAGTCGGAGATCTGACGTGGGACGTTTTCGTCCTCTCCTCTGCTCGCTGATGACATCAATGGTAGCAGAAGGTCCACGCGGCTGGTTATACGTCCCAAATATGCCAGATGATGATTCGGACTATCCACCGTGGCAGAACAGGTGGGCAGCCACGTCTCACAATGAATGTCTGTTGCCTTTCAGGACTTGAGCTCGCGTTTCGCTCCGCTGGAATTCCAATTCGCGGCCCGCAAACATCATAAGTTCCCTTCGTCGTCAAGATTTAATTTATCATACTCACTACTTCGTCAACACTGTATCAACCTTACTACAAACCTCAGAGGTATCGCTCTTCCTCCATCAGTAAATCGCAATGGCTTCCTCCCTCGTCGCCCTGCATTCATTCTCGGCTCTCTCCTTCAGCACAGCCGTCAAAGGGGCTTCGCTTTCCGCGCATCGCCTAGCAGTCGCTTCCGCCATTGCTCCCTGCAGGACAGGTGTCACCGCCCTCCTAGGCTTCAACAAATCCGCCGTCCCCGCTAAAACCACACCCGCTAAGAAGCAACCCCGCACCGAAGATGGCATCTTCGGCACATCCGGCAGCTTCGGCTTCACGAAAGCTAACGAACTTTTCGTCGGCCGCATGGCGATGCTCGGGTTCGCCGCGTCGCTCCTTGGCGAAGCCATTACCGGGCAAGGAATCCTCTCGCAACTCAACCTGGAAACCGGAATCCCCATCGCGGAAGCCGAGCCGCTGCTCCTCTTCTTCATCGCATTCACCGTGCTCGGCGCGATCGGCGGGCTGAGCGACCGCGGGCGATTCGTCGATGACGAGGCGCCTGCCGGGCCGCCCGTGAAGCCTGGCAGTTTCAAGGCTGCGCTTGGACTGAGCGAGGACGGGCCGCTGTTCGGGTTTACCAAGGCAAATGAGCTTTTCGTGGGGCGCATGGCGCAATTAGGGTTTGCTGCGAGCTTGGTTTGCGAGGTGATCACTGGGAAAGGTGCTCTGGCGCAGCTGAATATCGAGACTGGGCTGCCCATTTTTGAGTTGGAGCCGCTGCTGCTGGCGAGTATTGTGTTCTTCTTCGTCGCGGCTATTAACCCCGGTACAGGAAGGTTCATCAATGATGACGAGTAGGATCTTAGAACATGTAAATAGATTACTGTAGGTTTTGGCTTTGCTCGTACACATTCACTACCTCAGCTTTTGAACAATAAACCGTCTTTTGCTTAAATACGACTGTATGCGCCTGCTGACAATGTATTCATGAGGTATTATGTGTGTTTACTAGCTTGCACTCTATTATCAATTACTGGTACTGCACCTCTCAAAGATAGCACAAGCTTATAAACAGATTGACCAGGTAATAATTAACCAGAAGCAAAGAAAATAAAATAACCTAATATTTCAGTGCAAATTAATTATCCATGGATGTTATTTCTGTGTAATGCAAGATTTCGACCTATTACAGCGAAAAAATGAAAGCTCAAAGATACTACCGAAGGAAAGTTGTCCAAGCACAATTTACATAGTCAACTTTATGAGGTTACATATGTTGTGCGGTGTTCTAAAGCGATAAATAACACAGAATGTTCCTTAGCACAGTTGCGCGCATTAACCATGTCAAACACCAATATCCCCCCACCCCCCCCCCCCCCCCCCCCCCCCCCTCCTTCCCCTAGCACCCCGTTCCTGGTTGTGCTCCGTATACTGCGTCTGCATAGGTTTCTACTTCGCTCAGCATATGGCTGGATTATATCAGACGAGAGTTTTCTTGTAAACAATCACGCATTGTAATAAGACGCGAAAAACAGATCAGGGCTGGTTGTGGTGGACCCTAGATTTCCGATTCCGTCCAACAAGTCAGGTCACAGGCGGTCAACAGCACTTTAGACGCCACTGTATGGGCAAAAAAGGTTCCAGATTCTGGAATCCGGAAGCCACTCCGAACCAGAGCTGTCGATTGGTTCCAGGCCAACACTTGAGAGTCTGAGGTCGTCTCTCCAGCAAGTGTCAAGAAAGGCTTGGTGTCAAGCGTTGTTTACGGTTGACACCAAGTGGAGCCGCGTGTGAGCGCGGCTCCAGCCTGGTGTCAATGTTGGGCACATTGGACGATTTCCCGCGATCTCATTGGTTGGTTCAGCTGACACCAGGAGGGATAGTCCTCCATGTGTTTTCGAGTTGGTGTCATGACACTAGCCCCTCTTGACACTTGCTGGAGAGACGACCTGAGGTCCCCGGATTTCAACCCTGAAATTCCCGGGAAGTAGCCTCCAGGAAAGCCATCAACTTAAAACTTGAATTCAGGGCCACACTTCAACATTCAGGGTGAATAGTTATCCCTCAGGCCAGCACTTCACACCTCTGACGAACACGCAAGTGCTCTCTCTGACTTGGCGGCAAATGAAACTATCTTCCTGCCGGGATGGGATGGGTTGGGAAGTGAGAAGAGAAGGAGGGGGAGAGGAGTGGAGAAAAGCTGTGAACGCTTCCGGGTAGGACCAGGAACTTCCACGGGGATTCAGGGAATCCCCTCAAGTGCCTCCTGTAAGAATCAGGGGAAGGCCCTTCCCACGCCCGTTAGAATTCAGGGCTGTACAAAAAATCAGCCCTGAGAATTCGGACCCTGGAGCGAATTCAGATCTTAATGTTCAGGGCATTAAGGCCATATTCCGAACATCCTTAGTCAGAGATCTGACTTGGGGCGTTTTCGTCATCTTCCGCTTGTTGACGAAATCGATGGTAACAAAAGGTACACGCGGCTAAACCTCTGTCTCAATTCTGGCAAACGCTGAATCGGACCATCCACCGTGGCGTTCCAGATGGGCAGCCACGTCTCGCAGTGAATTTCTGTTGTGTTTCAGGACTTGAGACCGATTCGCACCAAAGAAAATCCTATCCGCGGCTCGGCAAAAATAGTACAAATTCTCATGCCAGTCCAATCAACACATTGTCTGTCTTCAGTTCATTTTTTCAACATCAGCATTACAGCGATACCTTTCGCTCGAACTACCACTCTTTTTCACTACTCATCCGGAATGGCTTCCTCCCTAATCGCTCTCCAATCGCTCTCTGCTCTCTCTATTAGCACAGCCGGCAAAGGCGCCTCAATTCCATTCCATCGCCTAGCAGGCACCTCCGCCATTGCTCCCTGCAGGCCAGGTGTCACCGCCCTCCTAGGCTTCAACAAATCCGCCGTCCCCGCTAAAACCACTCCTGTCAAGAAGCAACTCCGCACCGAAGATGGCATCTTCGGCACATCCGGCGGCTTCGTCTTCACGAAAGCGAACGAACTTTTCGTCGGCCGCGTGGCGATGCTCGCATTTGCAGCGTCGCTCCTTGGCGAAGCGGTTACCGGTCAAGGAATCCTAACGCAATTTAACCTCGAAACCGGAATCCCCATCACGGAAGCCGAGCCGCTGCTCCTCTTCTTCATCGCATTCACCGTGCTCGGCGCGATCGGCGGGCTGGGCGACCGCGGACGATTCGTCGATGACGAGGCGCCTGCCGGGCCGCCCGTGAAGCCCGGCAGTTTCAAGGCCGCGCTAGGACTGAGTGAGGAGGGACCCCTGTTCGGGTTTACCAAGGCAAATGAGCTTTTCGTGGGGCGCATGGCGCAATTAGGGTTTGCGGCGAGCTTGGTTGGCGAGGTAATTACTGGGAGAGGTGCTCTGGCGCAGCTGAATATCGAGACTGGGTTGCCGATTTTTTAGTTGGAGCCGCTGCTGTTGGCGAGTATTGTGTTCTTCATCGCGGCCATAAACCCCGGTACAGGGAAGTTCATCAACGACGAGGAGTAGGGTCATAGCATTTGTATATATAAATGCCATGAGTTTTACACATAAGGATGTACAGATTTTGACTGCCATTCACTTCCCTGTGCATGAAACGTGTTTTGCCGTTGGATGTATAACAACATCAAGCCAATAGCCTCAATACACTAAGTGATACAGGATACATAACAGATCTAGTGATTAGGTATCTTTAATATTTCATCACAAGCTGGTTAGCCATGGATGCTCTTCCTGTGTAATGCTGAATCTCAGCCTGATGGCGTCAAGGGTGAAGGGATGGGGGAGGGAGAGAAGATTGATGAATGAGGAGACAGGAGGAAGGAAGTGGAATGTAAGATGGAGAGAAGATATTTGATAGGGAAAGAGGGCATAAGTCCTTTTTTATGAGTGGCACAATCTAATTTCAATTCCCAATTTCACAGCAGCATCTGCCAGTTTCTCACTTTTCAGGACTCACACGTGACAGCCGATTCACAGGGGAATAGAGCACTGTGGCACCTGGGGCACCCTTGCATAGGCAGAGGGGCATGCACTAGTGGTGGGTGCGGCAGTGGGGCATGGGGAAGTGGGACATCCACCGTTACTGACTGCACACACAGCCACGCTTCCCTGCCCCTTCGTTCCCCCATAGCCTCTCTCTCTTTGATCGCAGCATCTTCTTCCAAGATAGCTGGTGCTAGCCCAGCTGGTGCTTTCTCCAGCTGTACCCTTCCCAGACCTCACCCCTGCATGCAGCCAGCACAGACTTACCAGCATTGCATGCACCGGCGCATCTCCCAGCTCCTCTCTCCCTCAGCACATCAAAGCACCCCTCCTTTGGTGGTCACCCTCCCCTGATATACCCTCCTCTGTACACCCTCCCCTGATGCAACTACCCCAAAACACCCTCCCCAGGTCTCACCTTGCGCACGGCCACAATCGCCTGCGCCATCTCTTCCCCCAGTACTGCTCGCAAGACAGCATCCGCCTCAAAGGCCGCCAGTGACCCCTCCAGGCAGGCTGGCAGGCAGAGCGGCCACCTTGCCCCTTCACACCCTTCCCTACCACACCGTTGCGCACTGCCACAACTTCCTGCACCATGCCATGCCTTTCCCCCCCGGTCTCACCTTGCACACGGCCACAATCGCTTGCACCATGCCCCCCCCCCCAGTGCTGCCCGCATAACAGCATCCGCCTCAAAGGCTGCTGGTGACCCCTCCAGTCAGGATGGATCAGGATAGCTTGCCCTGACACACCCTCCTCTGAAGCTCCCTCCCAGGTCTCACCTTGCGCACGGCCACAATCGCTTGCACCATGGCCTCCCCCAGTGCTGCTTGCAGGACAGCATCCGCCTCAAAGGCCGCTAGTGAGTCCTCCAGGCATGCAGGCAGGCGAGGGGGCGCAGAGTCGGCGGGAAGGTCAGCTGGGTTCACGTCTGAAGGGATGGAGGGGAGTGGTAGGGGGTGGAACGAGGTGTGGGTGGGGAATCAGTCCAGTGGAGGATGACACGGGGGGGTGGCAGGAGGGTGGCAGGCATGGAGGTTACGAAGAAGTTGAAAAACTAGGAGATATTGATATCACTTTTGAGAATTCTCAAAAGTGATTTCAAACTAGGAGAGAGTCCTCCTTGGTGAAACATCAGGAGGGAACGATTGGCGCTAGCACCAAGCATGCATGCATACACGTGCGTCTCACCACGTATCACCCATGTCACATCATATCGCATCCATCACATGCATTATACTCTTGTACCATGCATATCATGGCTTGCAGGCATGTGCCAGTAGGTTCCTTCCACCAGTGACAGCTTCCGCTCCAACCCATACCCATCCATGGCAACAGCATGGATTGCAGCTGAGCACACGCACCCCATGAAATCACAACCCCGTCACATCACATCCTACCCACCCCTCCCCATTTCCTCCCATTTCTCTCCCAATAACCCCTCCCACACCCCACAGACACTCCTGGTGCACATACCAACAGGTGATGCCATCTTCTTGTTCAGCTCATGCATGCCAGCAGCAATGACGGCTGCCAGCATCAGGTGCGGCTGGCTGAATGCACGGATCACATGCCCCCACTCCATATACCCATGGGATCACACCTACAATTCCACACCAAGGGCCACATACCTATAGGTTCCGGCAGCGGCAGCTTTTTCTCCAGCCCATCCATGCCCGCAGCAATAAATGCAGCCAGCACCAGGTGCAGCTGAATGCACGGATCACACACCTCCACATAGCCATGGAATCATGCATACAACCCCACACTCCTGGGCACGTACCAATGGGTGCCGGCAGCGGCATCTTCTGCTCCAGCCCATCCATGCCGGCAGCAATAATTGCAGCCAGCACCAGGTGCGGCTGGGCGCACGCGTCACACGCCTTCACCTCGAAGTTGGTCACTGGGAATGCTGCAGGCGCGCCTGCATCACCAGCGGCTCCATCAGCAGCATGGGTGGGGGGAGCAGCAACTCTGACAGCTGCTTCGCGGTTCTCGTGCCCCCAGCACTGGAAGGCGCCTGTCCACTTGTTGGGGCCCAGGCGCTCGTAGCTGTGTGTAAAACACAGCCAAATGGAGGGAAACCGGGGTGGGATGTGTGAATGGGAGTTGAGGAGCTGGGGAATAGGGAGTTAGCTCATGGCAGTTGACTCGCAGTTAACGTGCCCCCAGCACTGGAAGGCACCTGTCCACTTGTTGGGGCCCAGGCGCTCGTAGCTGTGAGTGAGCAACGCAAAATTCAGAATTCAAAAAGCACGGGAGGTGAGAGCTTGTGCGAATGAGATTTTGAAGAAAGCGCAGCGCACTGTTCAGCAGGAAATTGGGGAAAATTGTGGGGATGAGAGGGAGGGTAATGCCTGGAAAGCGCGAGGGATAAATGAAATTGAAGGAGAACATGAGAGGAAAGTGCACCTGTTGGGCAGGGGGCAGGAGAGAGCCATGATGGAGGTCAGGTGCGCCATCATGCCAGCCATGAATTGCCGCCCCTCCTCTGACATGCCTTGCTGCACTCTTTCCTGCTCTCCCTGCTCTGTAGCTGTGGGGCAGAGGGCATGAGAGAAACCCGTACCTGTTGGGAAGCGGGCACAAGATTGCCATGATGGAGGGCAGGTGCGCCATCACCCCTGCCATGAACTGCTGCCCCTCCTCCGACATGCCCTGCTGCCCCCCCTGCTGCTCTGCCTGCCCGCCTTCTCTCGCTTGCCCCGTAGCTGCGAACGCGTTGACGTACGTGCGCCCACCCTCTGACACCAGGATCGGTGCACCCGCGGAGGTTTCTGTTGCTGCTGTTGATGATGATGACGCATCAGCACCACCAGTGACCTCCCGCCATATGCTGACGTGGACGTGGCTGCCATTGGCTGCGTCGCGAGGGAAGACTCTGAGAGAGGACGAGATGGGGAATGCAGAGAGGATGCAGAGAGGATGAATGAGCAAGGAACAGGTTGGATGGAGATTCGAGGGGCGGGCTGACTGGGACCTTGAAAGGGGTTGAGAGGAAGAGCGTACAAGGCGGAATGTGCGAGGAGGCTTTTCAGAGGAGGATTGAAGCAAAAGCTTTGCAAGAGGAGGATAAAAGTGACATGAGAAAGTGGTCAGGAACTGACTGAGGAAGGAAGGTGACATGAGTGGGTGTGCTGCTCCGCTTGCTGCTCGTGCCTTCCACCTCCCCACTCCCCGCCCCTGCGGCTGCTGCTCTCCGCACCACCCCTGAGATCGCCTCCCGAACAAGCAGGATCCTATCAGCTGCTGCCACGTCAGCTGCATGCCCTACAGCTATCTCAAACTGCCCTCCACCTGATTCCGGGTGAAGCTGTGAGACAGAGAACGGGAGGAAAGGATGGACTGAATGCGGAATTGAGGGATTAAGGGAGTGAGGGGGTGAGGGTTAAGGAGGTGAGGGATTGATGAGTGAGGGAATGAGGATGGGAGAGTGCGTAAAGGAGTGGGGCAAGAAGGGCTAGGCGATACGCAGACAAAAGCCATGGTATTGCAATGCGCGAACAAGACAGTTGGATTGATTCTTGAGAAAGAGCAAACTAGAGTTGCCACCATGGCCCCCATCAACTGCATCCCTCATGCTTCCACCTACCATGCTATCTTCCCGCGTCACACCTCCCCCCCTCACTCCACCCACCTGCTCCACGGGTATTTTCATGCCCTGCAGAGCCGCCTGCATGCCACCCATCAGCTCTGTGACACACACATACATACACACAATGCTATATGCCAACGTCACACAATCCCCCACCTGCTCCACGGGTATGCCCATGCCATGCAGTGCGGTCACCATGGCACCCATCAGCTCTGCCTGCTCGTCAAACGCCAGCGCGGAGCAGTAGAGCGTGCGATCCACAGGGGTCATGCTGGGGACGGGAGAGGGGGAGGGCGGGAAGGGGAGAGCATGGGGAACGACGGAGCATGGGGAATGACAACGCACTACGACGTGCGTGCAGTTGACAAAGGCTGTTACTGGCACTCTATGACCACCAGAGCAAAGTTTTGCGAGAGGAAGTGGAGAACGGGCATGTTGGGAGCGGTGCGTGATAGGCAATGAACATGGGTATAATAGAGTAATAGCGCAGCGCGCAGAGTGCAGCAAGCACGCAGTTGTACATTTAGCAACAGGAATGGCGTGGAGAGGCAGTCGGAGGTATCAGGGTTCATACGAGGAGAGTGAACTCGCTCTCATTAAGGTGTATTTCGAGGCGCCTCAAAATACACCTCAAGGCGTGGGGAGACAGAGGGAGGTATCACGGTACATACGATGGGCTGTTGGAGTGTAGGAGAGTGAACTTGCTCTCAAACTCCGCGAGGTGACTTTTGAGTCGACTCAATAGTCACCTTGTGTATCATAAGGCAGTGGAGAGGAACAGCGTGGCAAGACAGAGGGAGGTATGGTACATACGATGGGCTGGTAGAGTGTAGGAGAGTGAATTCGCTCTCAAACCCGGCCCTCAGCACCTGCACGCACACACGCACACACAAGTACACAGCGCAGTGTCATGATCTTATGACTGAAGTGAAGCCAGCAATATTCTCTTCTTTCAAGGGCCTTACAGGAAGGCCCTCAAGCATAGTGCTTGCAGTGTAGCTGTTTGTGAAAGATAGTGGTTCTTCTGAGAATCTTTAAAAGTAGTGTCGTGGTGTTGGTGGTGGTATACGCCAATCCTTACCACTCAAAATTCAAGACCTCCAAGCTATAAAGGTATAAGTGAACTTTCCAAGGCAAGCACCTTCTCATGCAAGCATTCTTTTTCTGAAAGAGTTTTTGTGCATGTACCTCATGCACAAAATATGAGGAGCAGGTACCGCGCTCATTTTTCCTCCTCATATTCCTGCCCTCCACTCACCAGGCCGAACCTGTCCTTGAGGGAGGCTGGCTGCTACTCTCCCAGGAAGTCTCCCCAATGTGCTGCAGGGGACTTCACTCATAACGGGTATTTGCTCACAATGGGCCCACAACAGCGGGGTGTTTCTTAGAATTCTCAAACATAATCATGTTGCTCTGGGTGAACACTCACCAGGCCGAACCTGTCCTTGAGCGAGGCTGCCACTCTCCTCAGCGTGCTGCGTGGACACACAGCAAACGGCTGACCTGGCGCCACGTGTGCATCCACCAATGCGAGCATCTGATTGGGACACCTGGCAAGGGGAGGGAGGCGGTGAAAGAGTGGAAACGCTGAGGTGGATAGTGAAGGGGTTCCAAAAGAAGGTGGTGTGACAGACACATGGATGATGGTGATGATGATGGATAGGTGGATGGACAAACTACAAGCCAGAATGATCAATGATGAATGGTGGAAAATACTCAAATCAGCATGCTTGTATCCACGATGATGTATGGAAGGATGGGTGGAAAGATGGATGGTGGGATGCTCTGTCGATGCCTTGCCACCCCAACCCCACGCCCACATCCCACTGCAACGCCCAGCTAATGTCATTACTCACCACGGGAGGGTTCTCAGCGTGCCGACGTCAGGCATGAGTCGCACCTCCCCCACGGCGGACAGGCCGCATCCGGGGGCGGGCCCATCCACGAACGACGCGAACGCGTAGATGCAGCGCGCCAGGCCTATCCCCTGCTGACACGTCAGCGCGCGGAACCGGTCCCAGGGAACCACCTGATTGGCGGAGATTGCAAGGGAGTTTGTTAAGTGGAAGTCAGGAGGGTAAGAAAAGGGACGGAAAGACGCGACTTCTCGTGGTCGCGACAGCCACTCATTGCGGCATCTCAATGCTCACGCATTAGGAGCTCATTGCTTCATAATTGCGAGAAGAAAGCTTGTGAGAAGGAAGGCCCCGTTGCATTTGCATTTGCATTTCAAACGCCTTTCACTTTTCGAATTCCTAAGGCGAAAGAGCATTCGAGGCAGCCGCAGCAGGAACCTTTCACTTGGAAAGCATTTAGACGAACGGGACTTCACGGAATGCAAATCAACGCACCCGCACGCGGCGCTGGCCCGGCAGGTACACGAAGAGCACTGGCAGGCGTACGAGCGCGCTGCTTGGGAACATTGATTCTAAGAGATTCAAGGCGAATAGGACTTAATGCAATGCGACGCCACCCACCCGCTCGCGGCGCTGGCCCGAGAGGTTCGCGAAGAGAAGGCGCACGAGCGCTCTGCTTGGGAACATTCACTAACAGAAACTCCAGTCAAACGATTCTACAGAATGCGCGAAACTACTCACCCGCACGCGGCGCTGGCCAGAGAGGTCCGCGAAGAGCAGGCGCACGAGCGCGGAGCTGGGTCCCTTCACGAGCGGCGGAGGGGACACGGGGAGCGCGGCGAAGAGCTGCGGAGAGTCGACCTCCTCCTGCTGCTGCTGCTGCTGGGTGCTAGTCGGCTGGGCCATAGAGCGAACTTTCGTGCTCGTTGCGCGTCCAACGGAACCTTAACTTGTATGGTGCAAGTACGAATATAACTCTGCGGAACGAATATCTCAGAGACAGTGTAGCTACTGCGCGCGTACAGTGCACCCACTCTGTCTCTACGTTGCTAGTACCCTAAACCTCGGTACCCCAACCCCCTCGATCTCAATTTTGGGATGTATAGAGTACGAATATATTCTGAACGTATTCGTAGAACAAATTGGTTAGGCGCGACGAATATCTCTATGCTGCGGAATGGAAGAGGTGCTGGACACACAGACGGTATTCTATGCAAAGTAATCTTTCGTTGGACAGCCCGAACCGCTGGCTGGAAAATCATGTCCTGCAGGGATTGGTCAGGCGAAGGAAAATTGATGGAAACTAGCGGAATAGATGCGGTTCAAACCGGTACGCAGTAAAGCCCTGTTCTGTTGGGTAGGCTATCAGGCCAGCGGTAGGTCTGCAGCAAGGAAGCTCCAGCCAGTAGACAAATCCACGAAAGCCAAGGCGTAATCGAGAAGAAAGGGAATGCCGTCGGACTTTCCGTCCTGATAGGGAGGCGTGGTTGGCGGGAGGGATCTGTCAGGAGGTAGGCAACGGTGATTGGCAGCTTTGGGAATTGCGGCAGCACGGCCAGGGGAAGCGTGACATTGCGGAACTAACAGGAAACGCGATACAGTACACCCGTTTGAACAACTGCAATGTTTCCACTTGTGCATCTTGATTGAAAGGCCTCCTATCTAGCAAAGAGACAACACTAAAGAAAAGAAAGCCTCAAACTAAAACAGCCATACATTGGCAAACGTACAAGCACAGCAGCCACTACATCCCACTGCCAGAGACGCCGAGATATTGGCCAATAATCCCCCGCACCTGTGGTACACATAGGTGGCACAAACCAATAACACCATTAAATCTCAAAGCACCATTCAAAACAGCTAATTCATACGCTGAGTCAATTCTGGTCACACACAAAAACACCCTCACATCATAAACAGAACCCACAAACAATTCTCGAAATGATATTAACTCACTTGCCAGTATTTGGAAACACATCTGTCAACACAGCTAGTCTCTCCAAGATTCAACTCCGACTCTTTATACCTGGATGGGATGGTACCGTAAGTAGACGGGAGGGAACAGAGGAAACAGCAGAATGAAATTATCCCTACATTCGTATTACAGGTAACTCTGTTAATCAAAGCTGCTTGTGAACTACCGTACCTACGGAACAGACTGTTGAACAATATCGCGTTATGGCGAAAGGCAAGAAAAAACAAAATTCACGACTTACTTCTTCTCGTAGCACTTGTCAAAGCACGTCGCCACCATGCTGTGACAGCATCGAAGCAGGAAGTGGATAGGGGAAGGAGAAAAGGGGTTGGGAACGCAAACGCAGTGGAAAGCGGAAGTGGAATTTTGACGCTTACAAAGGATGGACAGGTATAGAGAGAGCATGCTGAGGTGTCACATTTAAGCAGCCACATGCACACACGCGAATGGCGAAACGGGAGAGAAGGGCTCGGCAGAGTGAGGGAGAAAGTAGGAGGCAGCAAGGTAAAGAGGGAGAGAGATGGAGAGGAAGGGATAGGAGAGAATTGACGAGGGGGGGAAGAGGAAGGGAAAGATGTGGAAAGAAGGAGGAAGGAGGGAAGGAGGGGATGGGAGGAGAGGGCTGGGAGGGTATGGGCATGAAGGGTGGGGTTCTGAATTGCATTTGGAAAGTGGATACTCACGAATTGAATAGGCTCACTCGGTACTCCATTTGTTGAGCTGCCATCTCATAGATCTGTTGTGGATCATGAAAAAGGAAACGCAGCAACATACAAACGAGGATCGCGAATGTCGATGGCACAAACCGCAGGCAAATCGCTGCCTGCTACGGCGTTTAAGGGGACTGTTGACGACTGACGTGACGAGTCGCATACAACCTAACGAATCCCATGCAAGGTTCTCCGTCATAGTCGCTAAAGCTCGTGAAACATTAAAAGCTCCTGAACTCAGCTAAACAAGCACCTGTTTGGCTTGAATCCGGAAAGAACTCTCAGTGATCGCTCATGTCTTGGACGCCTCGCGAGGAACCCAGATGCGACGGCGAACTACGCAATGAAAGACTGAAGAGGACCGGATCACGACAGGGAGACGACACACCTCGTCTTTGTCGATCCCATCGGGCAGCGCCTGAGGAGCCGCAGCCTTTCCCGCCATGTTACGATCTCACAAGGGCCAAACCTAACTGCTGTGTCTGTAACCAGGCTCTTTAGTGACGATCGTTACTGAAGCAGATGCTCAAGCAGGCGAACCAAGTGAGGTCTTGAAGTGTCGCAAAATTGGCAACGTCACGGGATGAACAAGCTGTTGGGTCAAGGTTGAAGACAAGGACAAGGTAGTTTATGTCAAATGTCACGTGTGCAATAGAACAAGGAACGAAGATTGCACTATCGGGGTTAAACGGAGTGAAACCTTCAACACAAGAAACCAGTTGTTTCCAACTTCCACCCTGGCTGTTTGTTACGGGTGCAATGAATCGAAGTAGCTAGAATTGCACTAAGGTGTCAAACGAGTACAAAATCTGAGCGAAGGTCATTTATACGCGAAACATACAAACGGTAACGCGGTGCGTGCGAGCTAGCTAGTGCTACGCTGGCAGCGAGGTTCGGGCTAGTCCCGAAGCGTAGGCTGACACGGCCAGGCCAGCAGTGCGAGGTTTGGTGAAACAGTGCACGCGAAGTCAACGAAGCCCCGTTGGTAGAACGGGCAAACAACGGCTGCTGCTGTACGCGATGTTGCAGGGCGCGCAAAGGAATATCGAGAAAATTCCTTACACTATCCCCCCCCCCCCTCCTCAAGAAGCCCCCTCCGCTACGCGAGTGCGCGTATATCGTGGAAACCCTGGCTCCTCATGTCAAACATATACATATGTTATAGTTTTGGGTAGGCTGTAGTGGGGCAGATACTGTGGGGTACAATCCCCTAGGTTTCCTTCTTATACCAAAATCTCTCGATAGTCACACACATTCCTGGTTAGTTTCCAAGATGGTAAATAGAGGTCTTTAGGACCTAAGATTAGGGCCCACCTGTTACCGCGTTACCTCACCTACGGCCTTGCCTGCCTGCCTGCCTTGCCTGCTGCCCGCGCGTGCCCTGGCAGCACGCGCGCGTATCTTTTTTTTTTAGCGCACGCTACTGTCAGAATCGTAGGCACGGGTAGGAGCCATGGCTAGGGTTTACCTAGCTAGGCAAGAGAGAAATGAGCAAAAGGAGGGTTTGCACTAGCAAGCAGGTGGATACAAATAGGAAACCCTAAGGGGCTGTATTCGCTATAGAATACCCCACTGCAGACTAGACAAGCATTATATTCTGACACACCCCCATAGTCAAAGTGGGATATAATCAGTACAGCATGCAGGCATAGAGCAAGAGTTCACAATGATAAGCAAAGCTAGAGGCTATCACAGAGGGCAAGTGAGGAGGAGGAGAGACTGTGGGGGAGAGAAGATGGGAGGCGACTGCTGAAGCTGCAGACACACAGGAGCTGCTGGCTCAGTGGCTACGGAAGCAAATGCCCGGACTACAGGAGTAACTGGCTCCGCAGTGATTGCAGACTCCAGACCGGAGCAACTGACCCACAGGCGATTGGCGACTACCAAAGATTGTAGCCTCCGGACTGCTGGTGCTGCTGGCGACATGACTGCTGCCTCCACTCAACCTCCCCCAGCTGCCCCACTCCCCTCTCACACACCCCCTGTTCAAACCCTAGCTCCACTCCCACAGCACCCCCCTTAAACCCTAAACCCTAGGCTCCCACACACCCACCCCCCTCAGCGACACCTGCAGCAGTGGGAGACGAGGGAGGAGGAGGAGCAAGGGGAGGAACACACAACCGCCACCCCCACACCCGGCACCAACACCCCAACCACCGCGAAAAGCAGCGGGGGGGGGGGGGGTCGGGGGGGGGGGGGGGGACGGGACAGGCCGCGGGCTGCCGCAGGGGCGGCTCGCGCTGATCCTGGGGCGGCTGCTGCAGGCGCGGGCTGCTCCAGGGGCGGATGCTGCAGGTGCAGGCTGCTCCAGGGGCGGCTGCTGCAGGTGCGGGCTGCTCCAGGGTCGGCCGCTGCAGGTGAAAGGGAGGAGGGAGGGGGGAAAGAGGAGGGAGGGGGGGGGTCGGGGGGGGGGGACGGGACAGGCCGCGGGCTGCCGCAGGGGCGGCTCGCGCTGATCCTGGGGCGGTTGCTGCAGGCGCGGGCTGCTCCAGGGGCGGCCGCTGCAGGTGCGGGCTGCTCCAGGGGCGGCCGCTGCAGGTGAAAGGGAGGAGGGAGGGGGGAAAGAGGAGCGCGGCCCTCAAGGCGCCCCGACGGGCTACAGGAGGGGCCGCGCACGGGCCCACGTGGGCGGCTCGACGGGCAACGGAAGGGGCCGCGCGCAGGCCCTTAAGGCGCCGCGACGAGGCGACGGTTGGGGCCGGCGAGCGGGCCCCCAAAGCGCCGCGACGAAACGACGGGAGGGGCCAGCTCGCAGGCCCCCAAAGCGCCGCGACGAGGCGACGGGAGGGGCCTGCTTGCGGGCCCCCAAGGCGCCGCGACGAAACGACGGGAGGGGCCGGCTCGCGGGCCCCCAAAGCGCCGCGACGAGGCGAGGGGAGGGGTCTGCGTGCGGGCCCCCAAAGCGCCGCGACGAGGCGACGGGAGGGGCCTGCGTGCGGGCCCCCAAGGTGCCGCGACGAATCAGGAAACCGCCGCGCGCCTCGGGGCGCACGGCGGGCAGAAAACCGCCATGCGCCCCGAGCGCGTGGCGGGAAAAAAATCGAAGGTCGCGTGCCACGGGGTGCGCGTCACACAGTAGCGCAGCGGAAGTAGGTGGGCCCATAGGCCAGGAGCGTAACCGCTCTGATAGCATGTCAGAATCGTAGGCACAAGTAGGAGCCATAGCTAGGGTTTACATAGCTAGGCAAGAGAGAAATGAGCAAAAGGAGGGTTTGCACTAG